TGAGGTAAAAAAAAAATAGCTGTAGAGATAATTCCGTCTTGATGTATAAAACTATTATTAGCAAAATATAGTTTTACGTATTCAAAGTCTGTTGCTCGTAAAAACTGATAACTGATTGACCTTCCTTCTACTTTTTTTGGTTCTGGATTTCTAATAATATTCATTGATGGTAGAGTTTCCTTTTCCAATACCATATCAAAATGTAATGTAAGAAAAGTATCTTCATTATCTGGTATGATTAACATTCTAAACCTATCTATATATTTTCCACTCGTTTTAATTTCATATAAGTCATGATCATTAACATATATGTAAATATATGTAATGGGGGTTAATAACTGAAGGATTAATTACTCTTATATTTGCTGTAAATCCCTATTTTTTTTATATTCATACTCTTTTGATCTATCAATGTTATCAGTAATAGAAGCATCTTTATCACTCAAATTTCCAAATGGAAGATTGAAATAATATGATTTATTTTCTTTCTTGAGATTATTTTCTAATGCCGTTATATTTTTTTTCCTGTTTCAAAACTTCGTTTTTAATAGTGGTTATCTGTTGTTGAAGAACACTATCATCAATATTTTGTATTTGTTGTTGAATATAGGTTTTGATTTCGCTAGCATCAATATTTTGTATTTGTTGTTGAATATAGGTTTTGATTTCGCTATCATCTATGTTTTCTATCTGTTGTTTAATATTTGTTACTTCTTGGCGGAAGCGTACAAACCGTTAGCATCAAAGGCCATTAGTTAAGTACATTTTATTTTTTTAAGTTTTAAATTATCTACCGTTTTATCTTTTGTACTTTTACTATATTCTTTAAATAAATCAATTATATTACTACTCTCGAGTTCTGTGTATTCCTTTAATACATTACAAATTTCATCCATTTTATTCGTTTCAAATGATTTTCGATTTGCCGAAACTCTTCCTCCTTTAATGGATTGTCTGATAAAATATCTTATAAATATGTGAGTAAAATTTGTCTACGTTTTCTTTTTCGGTGTGTTTCGGAACCATTCTAGTAGTTCATACCATTCTTCTTCAACCATTTCTTTATGGTAATGATACCAATAATACCAACCCTTTAAAGATAAAGGAGCCGTTAGATTATTGGACATATTCTGGAATACAACTTCTTTCATAACTTTGTTATATTTTATCAATCAAAGCTCCAAGACATAACTGTTTTAGCGTAGGGTTCCCATTCGTTTCTTAAAGATTCCCAATTATCTTCGGTGTATTTTGCAATATTGATATCAGTGATCTTTCTCAAATTCATCGGTAGATTAGATGAATTTCCCCATGCCACTAAACTAGATTTTTCGTGTTGATAGGAACATATGGAATTAATATTTTGCAAATAATTAGAGTTGCTTATTATTTGTTTTTGTCTTTTCCATTTTTTCTGTAAATATTCATCGGTGAATGAATTAGTTAAAGGTAGAGACAGAATACCTCTAGCTGTTACTAGTGGACATTGCGTTAGTTTTTTCGCATTTTTAAGCACGATCCAGTTATCAAAACCGCTACCGTTATGAGAAATTAATGTTATTCCTTTTTTTTATCTATTTTTCCTAAACGTTGCAACATTTGATCGATGCAATCTTTACCCATAAATAGTTCTACTATATTCATTAATTTATTATAAAATTCTTCTGGAACACTATCAGTGGGATTTAAATCTGGAAAGTTATGTTTTATTCTGTCTAACTTTTTTCTTAGTTTTTCTAAATTAATTAACGTGCAAGAATAAGGAATGGCTTTATTCGTTTCTTTTTCGCGATAGGTTTCGCAATCCCATGCGTATAAACAATCATCGTGAATTGTTGGAAAAACATTTAGTTTTGAAGGTGAAACTTGTGTTACCGCATTAGCATCTCTACAAGTTCTCCATACGTTTTCATCGTAATTATCTTCTATTTCTTTAATATCTAAGGTTTTGTTATTTCTTCTAATGAGACAGAAATGTGATTTATGTAAGTAAAATACCCAATCTAATTCCTCGGATACTTTCTTTGGTTGAAAATGTCTATGTTTGGGCATATAAATTTGAAAAAAAGAATTAAATTTCTTATTGAAATCACAGATTCTAGCAGTTGTCATAACTCCTTTTCTGTTTGATTTTGAAAAACTGTTGATGAAATCTTGAAATTCTTTTGTGTAGTCTTCGTTTAAAATACGATTTACGCACTTTACAAAGCAGTATCCATCGCTTGGTATGTAACAATTTATACCGCTACTATATTCATTTATCTTTTTGAGTAGGGTAACACCACTACCCTTTTTTGATCTTTTTATTTCTTTGAAATTGTTTCTACGTAAAATGATTTTTCCTGAGAAATACCAATCAGAAGCATCCGATTGTACATCCACAGTTGCGAAGAAATTGTGAAAAGTTTTGGCATTAAAGCCTACAAATTGCATGTTTTGTTTGTCCTCCATCTTGAATTATCTCTCCATCTAATTCAATTTGTCCTTTAAATGTTTCATTTATCAGAGATAAGCTTAATAACACTGAAAAAAAGTTGATTTGATATGAATGTTTCATCGTCTAAAATTTCAATTTTATTCATATTTTTTAAGCAACTATTTTTAACTAGGCATTTTTAACTTTTATTGATGACATTTCTACATCAAATTTATCTAAAATTTCATTGATTTTTCTAATTCTTTAATGGTTATGTTCTTATCTTCTCTCGATCTTTCGAAAAAAATGAATAATTTATTAAGATTTGTATTTAAAATTTCTGTTTTCTTTTTATAATGAGATTTCTGTTTTGATGTAAAACCTAAAGTAATCAATCCACAAGATGAAGTTTGAACGGCAGTGAACGCGGCTAATGCAGTTGGGACAATTATTGGAAGCATTAATCAACCGGTTACGGCTGTTGCCACCGTTATCCCTACTGTTAGAACTGTACTTAATGTTTTGAAAACATAATCAATTCCACTCCATGTTTTTCTGCATTTGTTGAAGTGTTTTAGTTTTTCTTTCAGTTCATTTTGTTTTTCTATCATATGTTGTTGTCTGCTTTCTAGCTCCATTTTTTAGGTAATAAAATTAAATGAATTTCTGATAAAGCAAAAGATGGAAAGTGTTTAGCATCTACAATAGGTTGCACAATAAGTTGTGCATTCTTTATTTTTTCATGATCTGTTATAATTATTTCAGGTTTGAAATAAACACTTTTACAGTTACTAACGATATTTGTTCTTTCGTATCATTAATCTTATTTAGATGAACTGAAAAATTTGGTTTTTCGATATTGATTCTTATCGTACATCTACAGGTAATTATACCTCCAACTTCTATTCCATCATTACGTTCAATTATTGATGAAAATATGATAAAATTTTCATCTTGTTGACTTTTATGAATATCGATTGAGGTAAAAAAAAAATAGCGTAGAGATATTCTGATGTATAAAACTATTATTAGCAAAATATAGTTTTACGTATTCAAAGTCTGTTGCTCGTAAAAACTGATAACTGATTGACCTTCCTTCTACTTTTTTTGGTTCTGGATTTCTAATAATATTCATTGATGGTAGAGTTTCCTTTTCCAATACCATATCAAAATGTAATGTAAGAAAAGTATCTTCATTATCTGGTATGATTAACATTCTAAACCTATCTATATATTTTCCACTCGTTTTAATTTCATATAAGTCATGATCATTAACATATATGTAAATATATGTAATGGGGGTTAATAACTGAAGGATTAATTACTCTTATATTTGCTGTAAATCCCTATTTTTTTATATTCACACTCTTTTGATCTATCAATGTTATCAGTAATAGAAGCATCTTTATCACTCAAATTTCCAAATGGAAGATTGAAATAATATGATTTATTTTCTTTCTTGAGATTATTTTCTAATGCCGCTATATTTTTTTTCCTGTTTCAAAACTTCGTTTTTAATAGTGGTTATCTGTTGTTGAAGAACACTATCATCAATATTTGTGGGACTTTGCTTTCAGCAAAGTCCCAGTTTGTTATCGAAATGTCAATTCTTTTTTTTTTTTTTTTTTTTTTTTTTCGATTTTTACACACCTTCCTGAGCTTAGACTACAATAGTTGCAGCAACCATTCAACATTCACGAACCTTAGATATAGGCGACGATGTGCATAAATATATTTTGGATCTTTTTTGCAAAACCGGGAAGTGCCACAGTTCAATATGTGCAAGAATAG